GCGGCTATGTCGTCGCGGTCACCGCCCCGTCGTCCCCGTCGCCGCCCGTCGCCTGGGCCAGTTGGGCGGTCTGGCGGCTATTTCGTCTCCGTCGCCGCCCCATTCCATATGATTTTGCCCCATCGTCCATCCTAAATATGAGTTCATACTATCCCAGCCAGGCCGGTATCACTCCCCCCCGCCGTCCTCTGCGAAAAAAAATTGTGCGCGCACTCTCGTTTATCAAAAAAACATAAGTTTTCAAAAATCCCTTGCAAAACACGGGACGATGTGCACACGCGCGCGTCGTCGCGCGCGCATGTCGAAATCCTTCGAAAACCTTCGGTTTCGGAAAATCGAGTTTCCAAAAAAACACATACAAAAACACATGGTTTCGCAACACTGATTTCCTACAAAATATTACGCGCGCGCCCTGGCGAAGTCTTAAGAAAACCATCGGCTTGTCAAGATTTTCAAAAACCAAAACTACCAAACGGGCTTCGCGCGCGCATGTCCAGTTGTTTCGCACGCCCTTGCGTGCGTGCCGTCGCGAGACTCCTTTGCAAAAAACAAGACGAAGTGCAGACGCGCGCGTCGTCGCGCGCGCATGCCGAAATCCTTCAAAACCCATCGGTTTCGGAAGGATCTCAAAATCGTGTGTACAAAGAAAAGGTTTCGCAACACGGATTTCCAACAAAAGCATGCGCGCGCGTCGTTGCGTCGTCGTCGTCGTCGCCGTCCTCCCTCCTCCCTCGTTGTCGTCGTCGTCGCCGTCGTCGTCCGCTGTGGGCCCCGACTCGCGGAGTGGAGGCAAGGCAGGATCATCCATAGCGGGGCTGCGTGAGCTCGCTAGTGGACCGCCTCAGTGGTCGGGGGAGGTGCATGCTCGGGTGGGGGACGGGCTCGTGGAAAGGCCCTCGACGACATGTTCGAGGCCTACCTCGAGGCGCGTGGCGAGGACGAGGAAGCCCCCACGCCTGCGCAGCCTGACCCACCTCACATCCCTTCGGCGGCTCGTGAGGAGCTTGCCGAGAGTTGGGAGGACGTTCGGGAGGCGTGCTACAACTTCAACAGTCAGCCCCATCCGTGTTGCCAGAGTCGTGGCGTGGAGCGCCCAGCACGACAATCGGTCTGGATGTGTTTGCAGTGCCTGTGGGGTCTGCTTTCTCGAGGCACACAAGTCGAAGCGGGCCCCTCTCAGGCCGTGCCTACGTGAGCACGCTGGTGCTGGGCTCGGCGAGCAGCTCAGTCGCCTGAAGGCGCTGAAATATCGCCGCACAAGCAAAGGTCTAGAGGACCTGCACCTCGAACGCCCCCAAGGGGTGTCATTCGAGGTGCGCCTGCGAATGGCTTCCATCTTCAGTTCCAGCGTGGAGGCCAAGGAAGGCAATGCGTTGGGTGGAGCAGGGGCGGGGGTGGGAGGCCCTTCCCCTCTGCCGTGACACCCGAGCTGACGCGCTGGGGGATGTTGGCCTGGTCGAGGCCGCGCTCCCCTCGGTACGGGCCCGCGGAGAGCACCTCTGCGCGAATAGCACGGAGGAGGCCGTGACCGACTGTGGCGGCGCCTCCGACTCGGAGGCAGAGTGGGGCGAGACATGCCCCGAACCTGGCTTCAGGCCGCTGTCCTGCCTACCCACAGCATTATTATCGCCCCTCCTCCCTCCTCCGCCTCATCATCCTCCTACGCCGCTGCCTCCTGCTCAAGTTCCTCCCTCACCCTCATTTTCCTTACAGATACCCCCCCGTATCGCACCCCCAGACGTGTCGGTATAATGGCACTGGCGCTTCGCGCACGATACGTCCTCACCCTGTATGAACATGAAGCTTGAAACTTGCAACAGCCACATGGGTGGAGGATGGTGGTTTTCGAAATGGGTTCTTGCGTTCGCGCCGCACACATTCGTCTTAAAAGCCTCAACAGCTACAAGGATGGAGGGGCGGTTTTCAAAATGGGGCTCTCACCCTAGCGCCGCGCATATTCGCCTTCAAAGCTCCGAACAGCAGCCAGATGGGAGGGCGGGTCCTTTTCAAAATAGGGCGAACGACTTAGCGCTGCGAACATTCGTCGTCCAAGCTTGCACCAGCTCCTGTGAGCGGTGGAGGTCCGCCCCTTCTCAAAACAGAGATCTTGCCTTAGCGCCGCGCGCATTCACTGTAAAGCTTGCAGTAGATAAGATGATTGAGGACGGCGTCTTTTCAATATGCGGGCCTCGCTTGAGACTTCCTCTTATTGAAAATTCTTCAAGCCAGTGGACGATTAATTGTGCCTGTGTGTTTTTTCTCCTCCTGACCATTTCGCATTCCTTGTAGTCCGGTAGATGAATACAAATTCTTCTTCAAGCCAGGACTGTCGCCCGATTTGCAGCCACATAGGGCGCTGGTCTTTCAAGGGGTCGATTCTCGTACTGACAAGGAGGGCTCGTAGTGATTTGTGAAGGGGGCGACGGGAGGGGAGGGTAAACTGCAACATCGCTGATGCATCCTGTTTACTCTACTCCCTCTCCACCTCCACCTCGTCACTCCTCCATCCTCCCTCATCTCCCCTCGCTGCGCGCCCTGGAGAAGCAGGATGCGAGGCAGGGGCTGAATGGGCGAAGGATCTGGACGCATCTGCGGCGCGCTTCTGGGCCGGATCCCGCCAGGAAGCGCCTGCCCCCAGGCGAGGGCGAGCCAGAGAGGCTCGGAAGAGTGTGCGGGCGTGCAGGCTCCTCGCCGTCCCCCTTCCTCCCGTCTCTCCCCCTTCGGGCCCCTCCTCCTCCTCCGCTTCCCCCCCCTCCTCCATCCCTTTTCCTTATAAGTGGCTCCTCCCTGTCGCACCCCCAGACGTGTCAGTAGGGTGGGCCGGGCGTTTCGCGTGAGACTTCCTCGCCATTTCTGACCCTCAGGCTTGAAATTCGCAACAGTTTCACGGATGAAGGGCGGGTGATTTTCAAAATGTGGCTCTCGCATTAGCGCCGCGCAAATTCGTCGTAAAACTCTGCAGCAGTTTTCGGATGGAGGGCGGTTCCTTTTCAAAATGTGGCTCTCGCCATAGCGTCGCGCACATCTGTCTTCAAAACTTCCAACAGTTTCACGGATAGAGGGCGGCTCATTTTCCCAATGCGGCTCTCGCCTCAGCGCCGCGCACATTCGCTTCAAAAGTTTACAAGAATGTTGAAATTTTCGTGTGGTCGAAGTCCCACGAAGGCTTCCAGAGAGCCCCCCCAAAAAAGACCATGAAAAATGAAACATCGACTCGAACCCCGATCCTCGATCCTCCTCCTCTTCCTCCTCTGCCTCCTCCTCCTCCTCATCCTCCTCCTTCTCTGTTTCCCCCTCGCTCTTCGTCGTTTTTCCCCCGCACCACCCTGAAACCTGCATGAGCCTCCCAGAACCACCCCCCCTCTTCCCTCGGCCCACCTCCTCAAACGCTCCAGCCAGAGGAGAATCGAGCAACAGCGTAATCGACTCGAAGGGGACCCCGTTCCTGTAATCCCTTCCCCACGAGAGAGGGTAGGTCCCGAGGGAGGGTGAGAGGGAGGAGAAGATCCCGCGGGGTCCCTGGAAGCGTCCTGCGAATCGTGACCCCCCCCCTCCCCCTTCTCCGACCGAGAACGCCCAAGAGAGCCCCAGGAACACCCCAAGAGAGGCCGAAGAGGGGGAAAACCAACCCACATTTCAAGCTCCCCACTCCAAGAGGCTACCAGGAGGTCCCGAAATCGCCAATGTTTTTTCGCCTGCTCCACTTCCAGGCTTCATACACTCCACGTCGGCCCCAGTTGCCTCCGAGAGCTCCCCAGAACGGCCCAAGTACACGCCAGAATGGCCTGGGAAGGCCCCAAGACGGCCCAAAGGCCCCCCAGGACAGCCCAAGAGGGCCGGGGAAAGCCCCAACAAGGACTCGCGATCGTCGTCGCCGTCGCCGTCGTCGTCGTCGTCGTTCATCGTCCCCCTTCAGGGTCAGCGCAATCGGCCGTAAGGCCTTCGCAATTCGTATGGTCGAAGTCCCACGAACCGTGCTCTAGCACGACTTGGGGTTGTGAGGACGCAACAGTCACACTGATTCGCAGTGCTGCGGTCCCAGAGACGGCGTTCTGGCAGGATCTCAATAATGATTAGGACGCAATAGTCAAGTTGATCCGCGGCGTTGACGTCGCCGCTGGAACGGTGTTTGGCACGATTGAAGATTCTCAATCAAAATGTTTTCTTTAATGGGCCACTTCCCGCCATGAAAACTACTTCTTTTTGGAACTCATGCAGAGGCAACTTGGAGGAGGGCTTATTGCAATATCGTCGATGCGCATTCGGCTTGCACTGGCCCTCCTCCTCCTCCTCCTCCTCCTCCTCCTCCTCCTCCCCCTCCTCCTCCTCATCCTCCTCCTCATCCTCATCCTCATCCTCGTCCTCTCTTCTGCGGCACTCCTCGCTGCCGCTGTCCAGTCCTCGTCGGCGTCTTCGACGCTGCCGTCGTCGCGGGCGACGCCGCCGCCGCCGCCGCTCTGGCCCTCGAGCTCCTGGGGGGCCGCCGGAGGTCCTCGGAGGCCTCCGGGGCCACCGGAGGGTTCCCCTGGGTTCCCTCCTCCCCCCTCCTCCTCCTCGTCCTCCTCCTCCTCCTCCTCCTCCTCCTCCTCCTCCTCCTCTTCCTCCTCCTCCTCCTCAGGGGCGTCTGGTGCACTCTGGGGCTCTGAAGGACTTCGGTGGCCCCCGAAGCTCCCTGGGGTCCTCCTCAGTCCCTTCCGCCCCTGGGAGGCCCGAGAGCTCTTGGAGGCCATGCCCTCGGAGGCCTCTGGGGCCGCGGACGAGGCTGTCCCCCGGGGCGTTCCTGGAGGCCTCAAGGTGTGCCGGAGGCCTCCGCGAATCCTCAGAGGCTCCCGGAGGTCCTCGGAGTCCTCGTCGCTCCTCGGCGGCCCTCGCTGGGGTCGGAGGCCCCAGGGGGCGCCTGCCGGACGACCTCCCCCTCCGTAGGCCCTGGAAGCTTCCGGTGGCACCTGGAGGCCTCTGGAGGGCTTCGGTGCCACCCGCCCGGCCTGCGCGCGGAGAGCCGCCCTTTGCCCTGTTCGCCGGCGAGCTCCCTCAGAGCTGCTCGAGCAGGCGGTGCGGCGAGCGGCGCCGGCCCCGTGCGGACGGCGGGGTGGGGCCTGCGCGGAGAGGGCGCCTGCCCAGGCCTCCGGCCGAGCGCCATCTGCCACTCTGGGCGACTCCCGCGGCCCGCGCTGGGGCGGGGACGAACAGCAGCAGCAGCAGCAGCAGCAGCAGGAACTGGACCGGAAGGAACGGGAGGCACAGGAGGATCGGGGGAAGGCGGAGGGGAAATGATGGGGGTGGCCACAATGAAGCGAGCCTCGGATCCAGAAACGTGGCCCGCGCTGGGGAGAGAGCGCCATTCTGAACGACGGGAGCAACGCGCCGATCCGAAAACGAGGCCCCCGCTGCAGCGGGAGCACCATTCTGAAACACCGAAATCACTTGAATTGTAAAAAATAGAAAATAAGAAGTGTTGAAATCCTGCGCGTATAAAAACAGCATGCAGAGGAGGCGGGAGATCTTCAGGACATCTTCAGGGGAGGAGGGAGAAGAGAATGCATAATGTTAAATTGTGGAGGGCGGAAAGGGGCAGGAGGGAAAAGAGAGAAGGGGAGGAGGGTGGAGGGTGGGGAGAGAGTAGATGCTGCGAGAGGGGGGGCGGAAGGCCGAAGAGGTGAGGGGGAGGGAGGGGGAGGAGGCCAGAGCACGCTGAGCACAACGGCGAGAGAGATGCCTCCGCTGCAGGCGTCCATGCCACAGGGCCGCCACCTGGTGTGGAAAAGCGGAGCACCGAATCGCGCCGCCAGCAGGGCGCGAGGATTAGAAAATGTGGCTGAATGAAAGACCCTGGGGAACGACTGCTGCTGGCAGCAGCTGTTGCAGGACGCTGAGCCTAGATCGGCGAATGTGTGGTCTGACAGCCCCTGCCTACTGCGCCCCCCGATGCTCGAAAAGCCTCCGCGAGCCACGCCTTGTTGAACCACCATGGATCGTCGCCGGAGGAGGGACCCATGAGAAGTCGCTTGCAAAGATCAGCCAAGTCCAATTTTTGCCAAAACAGATCAGCCTCTCCGTCCGTCCACATCCCCACGGGTCAGTGACGCAGATCATTCGCGCACCACGCGCAAAGCAATGCCTCCAAACCGAGGCAGATACGCATGATCGCGCTGCACATCTGTGTTACTGGCTTAGCCTGTAACAGGGCTTGGCGACTTGTCTTGTGAAGCCACCAAACCGTCACAGCCCTGAAGTCAAATTACACTCAGCCAAATACCTCACGCAAGCGGTTTTAAGACGGGTCGGTCCCACAGGAGGGTCCGAGAGGTTTAAGATTCCTCGTCTATACCAAGCATTCTACACTGGAACGAGGGGCGCTGAACCTCACAAAAACTGGCAACCTGCAGTGGGTGGTACGCCTGAAGCTCGGGCAGGCAGAGAAGGACCAGCGCAAACCCAGGAGGCAACAACGATGCTGCAGTACACCCTCCTGTCCAAACCTCCACTCCTCATGTTCCTGCGTACAAGACATCCCTTCGAGTGCGGGAAGGGCCCACCCTGGATGACGAGCGCCCAGTGGTCGTCCTGACACTCGAGAGACCCCGTGTTGTAAAGGATCCGCCACCCTATCCTTCCAGCGGGAACAAAAAGGCAGAAGCAAGATGCTCAAGCTCAAGGAGGTGCCCAGCGATAGCTCCGCTTTGAAAAGGACCCGCCCTCCATCCGTGCGTGTAAGCGTTGCACCATTACATATTATGGTCAAAGAGAGCACGAGTCTCAAGCGAGAGCTCCATCTTGAAAATGAGCCACACGCCACCCGCGCAACTAGTTCCACAAGTTGGAGCAGTCTCAAGCGAGAGCCACATTTTCATAACGAAGCAGCCCTCCGTCCTGGCCTGTAGCTGTTGTACAACTTGTAACCCGCCGCGCGAGGCGCTAAGGCCAGAGCCTCGTTTTCAAGAACACCGGCCCTCCATCGTTGCAGCTGTAGCGAGCTTGGAGAGCCCACGTCCGCGGCGCAACGGCGAGAGCTCCATTCTGAAAATCACCGGCCCCCCATCCGCGTGACTCCTGGTTCCCTGAAAACCCTCAGGAGAAGAAGCTGCAGAGAACTCTCTGGCGAGACACCCCAGTCCAGCGTGCGGGCACGCCTGGTGGTGCGACACGGGGGGGGGGCGGCGGGGTTCCCCCCGAGGCGGGGGAGGCGGGGGGCCTCTCGGCGCTGCCTCAGGCCCGGAGGAAGGGGAGGGCAGGGTGGGGAAGGAGGGAGGGAGGAGGAACGGAGGCAGGGAGGGAGGGAGGGAGGGAGGGGAGGGGAGGGAGGAGAGGAAGATTAGGAACACAAGGGGAGGAGGAGGAGGAGGAGGAGGAGGAGGAGGAGGAGAAGGAGGTGGAGGAGGAGGAGTGGATGGAGGGCTTTCTGGACGCCTGCCCCCCTCGCCTTTTCCCCGACCAAGATCCGCTCCAGACGGACCACCCAACGCCTCCAAGGGTCCATCCTGGCCCGTGCTCCCGACCGCGACCGGGTGTGGCCACGCGGGGGATCCCGGGCGCCCTCCGAAACGAGAGAGGAGGTGCAGCAACAGCAGGAAAAGCACGGCTCGCCTCGGGCCCGAGGCGGGAGCCGAGATGGCCGTGCCAGCTCGGGCTCAGCAGGGCGCCTTGCAGAGCGCCTCGGCCTTATGGCGAGCGCTGGCCCTTGACCAACCGCCGAAGGAAACTGGCAAGCCAGACACACTGAGGCGAGGGGGGTCCGTGAGCGACGACGACGACGACGAAAGCTGATACTTCGAATACGACTACGACGCGGCTGTGAGGAAGTGGTCCGGTGAGAGCTTCAGCGTGAAGAAATTAGTAACATGCCATAGCGAGCAGGCCCTTGCACGCAAGCACCGGCAATCGATAGCAACCCATGGCAAGCAACCAGTCGAGAGCAAACAAGCAATACTAATTGAAGCAAAAGCGATTACTATGGCCAGCAAGCACGTTATAGTGAAAACCAAAACCAAAGAACACACAACCAGCTACAGGCATGCAAAAAGAAGCAGCAATAGCAAGCGAGTAAGTAGTCCAAGGAGGCACTAGCAAGCAGGATACTGGGAGCGCACGAGCAGGACATCACACAAGCCAGCAACAACAAGAAACTAAGAGCACGCAAGCATCAACAAACAAGCAACCAGCAAGAAAGCACTCGGGACAGCAAACAAGGGCAAACAATGGCAATGCCATCACCAAAACTTTCGTCGGGACTAGATACCTGCACGAGTCTTCCTGTTCCCGCAGATGGCGCTCCCAGAAGGGCGTCCCGCAGAGTCCGACTCAGATGTGTGGTCCGACGGTGGTCTCAGACGGGTGCTCCGAGAAGTCCCTTTGATCATACCAGTGGCCCGAACAGAGCACCTAATGATGGTCCCAAGTGGGTGTTCTATGAAGCGCATTTCAGGCGGTGATTCCGACAGTGGCTCTGGTGAGAGTTCCAGACGCCACATGTTCTGCGAGGACCCTGTCAAGCTGGTTGACGTCGTGACAAGAACATTTTGGAGCGTCAGCCTGGACGGCAATCCTGAAATGGCGCCGTCACCATGGCACCAGAGAAGGGAGCATGGGGTACCGTGACAGCCGAGCTGTTCAGAGAAAGACTAGGACAGGAATCCCCGGTAAGTTTGACCGTGGCAGGCGACCGCCTTTACAATCCAGAACCTTCACGCGACAAATACTCACAATCCACTGCAACCCCCGATCACAAAGCTGGAATGGAAGGTGATACTGCCGTTAAAAATTGGCGACGCCAGCCGCTCGGAGCTGGAGAGTGGACAGAGCCTCACTGCTTGACGGCCACCGAAAGTCGGTAAAGAAGCTCTGCCCCGGAAGGCTGCGAGCTTGGCACCTCTCTGGGGCGCCCGAAAAGACGGCACCGACGAAAGCTTACTGCATACCCCCCAGCGCTACGCCGCCTTGCGAAAGAGAGCGTTCCACCCCCCTCGTCGCCGCCACTCCTCCTTCTCCACCTCCTCGTCCTCCTCCTCCTCCTCCTCCTCCTCCTCCTCCGCCTCCTCCTCCTCCTCCCCCTCCTTCTCCTCCTCCTCATTCTCCGATCCTCCTCCCCCCTGCTCTCCAAGTCAACCCCCCCACCTCTCGTGGAACGCTGCTGGTGTGCTGGAGTCTGTCGTCGTGCTCATCGTGTTGCTGCTTGAGCCAGTCGTGGCAGTCACCGTGGAGCTGCTGGAATCGGTCCCGTCGGTGCTGCATCTCGTCGTGCTGTTCGCTGGGATGCTCGCGGTCGTGATGTCGGTGCCGCCCGTCGTTGTGTCGCTCGTCCCGTCGGCACCAGCTGTGTCTGGTGTGCACGCTGGCAGCATGTCAGTCAGCAGCATGCACGCGAGCAGCAACAGAATGCTGATGTAGGGGGTGGGGACTGAATGCCCCCTCTGAATGAAGTGGGGGCTTTGAACCACGCGCGAGGGAAGGGGAGGGGGGGATCCCCTTGCCCCAAGCCCCCACCAGCGTAGCACGGGCGTCGCCAGGGGGGGGGCGGCCCGTCCACCCGGCTCCGCTTCCATGAAGGGGGGGCTGGCTGCGAAGTCCCTGTGGAAAGAACTTGGCGGGCATCGGAGGGCACCACGTGCCCTTCGCACCCCTTTCAGCAGCCAAAGGTGGGCCCCTCAGGCCTGCCGCCACCAGTGGAGGCACACCGCACGTCATCCACCCTGCATGACGTCATCCAAGGTTCAGTGAGCTCTACCGCTTTGGTACGTCTACGTCCCTCCAGCCGTAGCGGCGATGACCCCCCAAGGTGGCACGAAAAGAGCGAATAACATCGAAACCCGAATCGTCCTCCAACCTCCCCTCCCTCCACATCCTCCTCCCCCTCCACATCCTCCTTCTCCGTATCGTCCCCTTCCTTGCCTATACGACTCCTCCCTGCTCCTCTTGCTCCTACGGTGTGCTTTTGTTCTTCGCTCTCTCTCTCTCTCTCTCTCTATCTCTCTCTCGCTCTATGTCTCTCTTTTTCTCTCTCTCTCTCTCTCTCTCTCTCTCTCTCTCTCTCTCTCTCTCTCTATGTCTCTCTCTCTCTCTCCCTCTTCATCTCTCTATCTCTCTCGCTCTCTCTCTCTCTCTCTCTCTCTTCCTCTCTCTCTCTCTCTCTCTCTCTCTATTTCTCTCTATCTCTCTCTCTCACTCTCTCTCTCTCTCTCTCTCTCTCTCTCTCTCTCTTTCTCTAGATATATCTCTTTCTCTCTCTCTCTCTCTCGCGCGCTCCTCCACGAGGCCCCGACAGGGCGGCAAGCGTGGAACTCATATTCAAGCTCCTCTTCCACCTCATCCTCCTCATCGTAGTCGTTAACACCGTTGCGGCTATCAGAATCGCCATCATCAGCAGCAGCAGCATCGTCATCATCATCATCATCATCATCATCATCATCATCATCATCATCATCATCATCATCATCATCATCATCATCATCATTAGCATCATCATCATCATCAGCAGCATCACCATCATCATCATCATCATCATCATCATCATCATCATCATCATCATCATCATCATCATCATCATCATCATCTTCATCATCATCGTCATCATCATCATCATAATCATCGTCATCATCATCATCATCACCATCACCATCATCATCATCATCATCATCATCATCATCGTCATCATCATCATCATCATTCCCATCATCAGCATCATCACCAGCATGATGTTCATTGTCATCATCTACGTGATCCACATCCACATCCTCAGCATCATCCTCGAAATCACCATCAGCATCATCACCATCCTCATAAGCATCGCCATCACAACCTCCGATATCACAATCATCATCACCATCGTCGTCATCATCCTCACAAACGTCATCAGCATCGTCATCATCACCACCATCATCATCATCATCATTATCATCGTCATCATCATCAGCGCCGTCTTCGTCATCATCACCACCATCGACATCATCAGCAGCAGCATCATACTTGTCGTCGCTGTCTGCACCATCAGCATCATCAGCAGCAGCAGCCACATCAGCAGCATCATAATCGTTCATGCCATGATCCTCATCACCACCAACACCAGCAGCAGCATCACCATCATCAGCATCAGCATCAGCATCAACATCATCCTCGACATCATCGTAGTCGTCATCATCAGCATCAACAACCTCATCCTCAGCGCCATCGCCATCATTAGCATCATCACCAGCAGCAGCAACAGCAGCATCGTCCTCATCATCAGAATCATCATCAGCATCATAATCCTCATCATCGTCGTCATCGTCATCAGATTTGCCATCGCCCTCAACAACAACAGCATCATCAACATCATCATCAACATCATCAGCATCATCATTATCCCCTCCTCCGTCGGCTCCTCTTCCTTAGCCGCCACCGTGCCTTCAGCTTGTAGTGGCGCGCGTCACTGCTCATACAATGTAAGACAGTATTACATGAATCCCCGAGCGCTCCCAAGGTGTTTCGCGTGAGCCGTCTGGAAGCTGAACCCGTCCAAAACGATCACCGGATCCCCTGATAATCTCCCGAGAACCGCCAGAACAGGCACAGAAGGCCCTTGGGAGGTTCCAAGAGGCCCCATGGAGCGGTCACAGCAGGCACATAAGAGCCTCCAATGAAGGCTTCAAGCCGCTCCTAGAGAGGCCTCAGACAGCCAAAGTTGTCCAAGCACCCTTCGTTTTCGCTATGTTGCGCCTGTTCGGCTTCTCGGCTCAACATGACTTCAGTATGGTTTTAGAGAGCTCCAAGGCAGCCCAAACGGCCCCGAATAACCAGTCATTACGCCCAAGGGGGGCCCAAGAGGCTCCAAAGATGGCTCAAGGCAGCCCATGAGGAAGCCCGAAACAGCCCAAGAGCTCAAGACGGCGCCAAGACAGCCCAAGAAAGCCGGGAAGGCCCATAGACGTGTCGAGCGAGGCATATCTCGGGAGTATTATCGAGGCGGGCTCATACACGAGGCAAGAGGGTGTGCCAGCGCAGCTCCAGGCGCTGCTGGCCCATCAAGACCTCGAATGAATGAGCCCTTCTTACCGATGCGCAATGTGCTTAGCGAAACGGTCCAAGCGGTCCTTCTCCTTGTCTCACCCCTCTTATTAACCTATCAAGTTCCTCCTCATCAGCCTCTTCTTTTTTCCTCCGCGTTCTCCTCCTCCTCCTCCTCCTCCTCCTCCTCCTCCTCCTCCTCCTCCTCATCATCATCATCATCATCATCATCATCATCATCATCATCATCATCATCATGATCCTCCTCGTCTTCACACCGCCTCATTCTGCTGATCCTCCTCCTCATCATCATCCTCCGCATCCTTCTGAACCTCCTCCCCCTCCCCCCTCCACCCCCTCCTCCCCCTCCTTCCTCCTCCTCCTTATCCTCCTCCTCATCCTCCTGGTCATCCTCCTCGTCCTCTAAGCGCTCAGCTGGAGGCATCAGATCCGTTCAGAAGCTGCCGTCCTCCTCCTCCTCCTCCTCATCCTCCTCCTCCTCCTCCTTTCTCGTGGCCGCGGCCGGTGTACGGCCGCGGCTGCACGCGTATGCTCTGACTTTCTCTCCCACCAAACCGAGAGTCCGCTAGAGATCGGCCCCGACCTGGCGACATCCTGGGCGGAGGATGGGGGGTGAAGAAGCCAGGCGGGGGGGAGGATATTAGAGGACAACTGAAGCGGAGGAAATGGAGGCAGCAAATGGAAGAGGGGAAAGTGACTGATCCACCGAGGGGTGTAGGAAGAATACCAACAGGCTGCAAGCAAGAGAGGCAGTTCGGGCGGGCTGGATAGAGCATGGCATAATACGGAGCATGGCGGGGACGCTCGAGCGGAGAGGGGTGATCTGCCGAGACTGACCGTCACGCTATTTCGTTTTTCAGTGGGCTCATCGCGCCATCGAGGCGTGCAGTCGCGCCAGTCTTGCTGACAAGGTCGAATGAGAAGCTGACCATGACCAGCTGCCGCAGGACCTTGCGCAGTAGAATTCGAACGGGCTCGCTGACCACCTAGCCGAAGAATCAAATCAGTTTGGTCACATCGAGGTGCCGAAACAGGATGAAAGATCCATCGAATGTAAGGGGCGCTGTTGCCGTGAGAGGCGAAAGGAGTCCTGCGTGTCGAGGGGGTCCAGCCACTTGCAAGAAACCGTATCGTTGGCTCCCAACTGCAATCTCACAGCGGGACCTGGCAGAGTAAGGGATAGGGGGCGTCAGAAGCCGTCAGAAACAACAAAGGCGAGGCAGCCAGCGCCGCAGCTGAGCCGAAATAGTGTTGCGAAGGGAGGTGGGGGTGGGAAGAAGGAGATAGAGGAAATACATACATAGAGAGAGAGATCTACATGTATATAACCACAAATCTATGTATAGGTATTCTTATCTATATATATATATATATAAGAGTGAGAGACAGAGACAGAGAGAGAGAGAGAAAGAGAGAAAAAAAACAACAGCAAAAACGAAAGTATAAGTACAAAGAGGAGGACACAGATGAGGAGAACGAGAAAGAGAGAGAGACCAGAGAGAATGACAGAGAGAGAAAGAGAGAGAGAGAGAGCCGCATGCCCTGCCTGTCACTGCCTTTGACCACATGGTACTCTTCCCTCCTGGTACTCCTTCTTTCCACCTGCTTTTCCTCCTGCTTCCCTGCTCGAAAAGGAAGAAAGTTACGCTACAAAGTTGGCAGAAGAGGTGAAGTGTTTGAAGAGAGGTCTTGAATTATTGTGTGGTGCATCGGTTGATTTAATGTTCGAGTGTTCCCCTTGCTGTACTCTTTCTTTTCCTCACCCTTCTGCTCCATTTTTTTCAGGACGTGAGGATTTGAGTTATTGCGCGGATGTGCAGCCCTATATCTTCATCCACCCCATCATTATGATCATCCTCTTCGTCAAAATTGTCCCCATCATCATCCGCAACACAAATCGTCAGCATCATCATCAGCATCATCATCATCACCATCACCATCATCGTCATCATCACCATCAGCATCACCATCAAGATGAACATGGTGATGATGATGGCCATCATCATCAACAGCATCGTCAATATTATATGAACCTTTTGACCATGACCATCAGCACCATCATCATCAGCAGCAGTTGCATCATCATCATCATGATCACCATCACCATCATCATCGTCATCATCACCGTCGTCCTATTCATCGTCATCGGCATCACCATCGTCATCATCATCGTCATCATCGTCAAAATCATCATCATCGTCGTCATCATCATCATCGCCATCATCACCATCATAATCACCACAACCACCATCATCATCATCATAATCAGAATCGTCAGCATCGTCATCAACATCATCATCATAATCATCATCATCACCACCTCCTGCCATCCTGCAATTCCTCCTGCTTCCCAGCCTGCGCTGTCCGCGTCTCTCCACCCCCTTCGCCGCGCCTGCAGGGGCGGCGAGTCGTTCTCCGCCAGAAAGTCGAAAAGCGCGCGATTGGGCGTGCCGGCCTCTGCCGCGCGCGACGACCGACGACGACGACGACGACGACGACGACGACGACGACGACGACGACGACGACGACGACGACCGACGACCGACGACGACGACGGCGACGACGACGACGACGACGACGACGACGGACGACGGACGACGGACGACGACAAAGACGATGGCGACGACGACGACGACGACGACGACGACGACGTCGACGACGACGGCGGCGGCGGCGGCGGCCAGGGCGGCGGCGACGGCGGCGGACGACGACAACGACATGACCTCTGGGGGACCTCGGAATGGCCCCGATGACCACCGAGCACTTCCAGAGGCTCCGAAAACGTGCGGGAACGCCTCGGGAGCCTCGTCGCGGGAGGCCTTCACTCGAAGCCTGCAGAAGAACCCCGTGGAACACGCGCGTCTCCAACGCTGGCAAACCGGGCCCCGGCAAGCGGCGGACCGTCGGCCTGGCCAGCGGCAACGCTGGCGATGCACACACCGACCCGCGGCAACCCGACCCCAAGATGGACAGACAGCGGGCTCACCACGACGACGACGACCACGACGAGAGGAGGGAGAAGGAGGAAGAAGAGGAGAAGGGAGGAGGAGGAGGAGGAGGAGGAGGAGGAGGAAGGGAAGGAGGGAGGGAAGGAGGAAGGGAAGGAGGAGAGGGAGGAGGGCGGGGGCTGAAGGGCCGACAGGCTGGCCCTCGGCAGGCGGCGAGGCAGTCGCACGGATTATCGGCATGGCTGGCTGAAGGGTCGGAGTGCCGGGCTACAGGCGGCAGGCGGGCCCCAAGGGGGGCGGCCAAGGACGAAGACGACGACGACGACGACGACGACAATGACGATAAGGGGATGGAGGGAGGGAGGGAGCGGGAGGAGGGAGACAGCTGCGAAAGGAGAGAGAGAAGAGAGAGAGGGAGAGAGAGAGAGAGAGGAAAAAAGAGAGAGAGAGAGAGATTAAAAAAAGAGGGGCCACTGAGGGCAGCAACGGGGCCACGAAGGGCAGCGAGCGAAGGCGACCGCGGAACCAGTACGGGCAGCGAGGGGCATCGAAGGCGGGCGAAGGGCAGCGAGCGGCGACTGCAGTCCCTAACGGGCTGGTCGGGCGGGCAGGCCCAGACGGGCGGGTCGAGCGGGCGGGTCGTTGAAGCGTAAATTCTGCTTGAACCGCCAGGCAATATGCAGCGGCAGCAAGATTCCTGAGTGTCGAGGAGCCGCATCTGAATAAATTGTAAGGAAGTAAAAAGCGGGAGCCGCGATTCGGTGGTAAGTTGCGAAGAAGTCCGAAGCGAGAGAGCGGTTCTTAAATAAATTGCGAGGAAGTATCGAACGGGAGCCGCGATCCGGTGGTAAATTGCCAAGAAATCCCAAGCGAGAACACGATTCTTCAATAAATAATGAAGAAGTATCAGGCGGGAGCCGTTGTTGTTGTAAACCGGGGGCCAACAACACAGTTTGATCCTCAAGACTTTCCCTGATAAAAAAACAGGGTGCGAGCCCCTGGAAGGGCACTTCAATCGAACAAATCAATGTGCACCGGACGGGGGGGATCAACACTAATTATTCTTCAGAATTGGAGTTCAATAACAATCATTTTACCCTCATGCGCGATGTTTCCACACGAAGCATGCGACCAACATGATAACCATCCCCATCATGGAGGACTATTGCTCTATAGTGGGGTCCGTTATTCCCATGCCCAGATATCTCGCCCAATGAGGTCTTGCAAAGACCTCCTCCAAAGAATTTCAATATATACCGCCTCGAAAACGCATGCCCGCGCCTTGCTGCGCCGATGCAAGACCGCCAGTGGAGCCCCAGCCAAGGGCAAAACACAAGGAAGAATCGAGCAACAGGATTGCCTTGGTGGGGATGGGGGCTGTCGGCGGCGAGGCAAGAACCTGGCCCTGAATAGAAACGGAGGAAGTCTCGAGCAGGGCCGCTGTTGTTGCTGGGAGCGGCGCCAATCCTGAAGAGAGTAGGGCGCCAGTCCAGCGTAAAACAAAACGAAGTCTCGAGCGGGAACGCTGGTTTTGTTGGGACGGCAGTTGTCGACGGCGAGGAGGAACACCGCCTTGAGCAAGAAGGGAGGAAGTCTCGAGAGGGGGCCGTGGTTTTGTCGGGACGGGGGCTGTCGGCAGCGAGAAACAGCACCGTCCTGAGGGGAAAAAAAAAAAGGAAGTCTCGAGCGGAAACGCTGTTCTTGGTGGGAGCGGCGCCGATTCAAAAGAGAGAAGGGCGCCAGTCCAGCGTAAAACGGGCGAAGTCTCGGGCGGGAGCGCTGGTTTTGTCGGGACGGCGGTTTTCGGCGGCGAGGGGGAGCACCGCCTTGAATAAAAAAGGAGGACGTCTCGAGCGGGAGCGTTGTTGTTGTTGGGGGGGCGGTATTGGCGCCCCCCCAATCCGCTCGAGCGTGAGCCTCATTTTCAATGAAAATGCAGCCGGCGCCGAGGCGAGAGCGCCAAAGCGCCTGGGGGGGTCCAACAATAATAATTGTTCAGCAATTACCATTCAACAACAGAAGAACGGAGACTCCAGCCCCGGTAGGGGGATGCATGCTCAATGGTCACACCCGGGTAGAGCAACGGACACTCTGGCCCCGTGGGTTCTGTGTGGGCGCTCACTGCGTGACGACGACTCATCGGGCTCTGCGGAGGGCCCCCTGCGGCGGCCACGCGCCCCAGTGGACAAATGTGCACTCCGGCGCCGTGTCTCACTTCATCCGACCTGTGGCCTCCGCAGAAGCCGCTCCCCATGTGCTACCGTTTCCTCCAGCCCCGTGTTTGCGCTCCTCAGGGGACCTCAGGTATCCTGAAGGCCCAAGAGGCCTGCAATATGCCCGGAAGAGGCATCCCAACAGATCCCATGAGACTTCCAAGAAGGCTCTGGCCACCAACCCAAGCACGGTGGTGGTATGGGGCCGACGGCCACTAGGTATTGATACGAATGCGAGCAGCGCAAAGGCGCAAGCCACAATTTGAAAATGATTCGCCCTCCATCCGCGCGACTGACAGTTGGAAATTTTCAAGTTCCATTACCATCAGCCGCCAGGAAGTTTCAGGGGAAACGCCCACCCCGCCCTACAGACACGCCTAGTGGCGCGGCGACGAGGGATTATCTGTAAAGAGAAATGGAGGTGGAGGGCGAGGAGGCTTGGAAAGGAAGAGGAGGGTGAGGCGAAGTCTCTGAGTGGTGGAACCGTTCGACGCCGCGCACTCAAGCCAGCACTTATGATCGAATTGACAGGTTCGAGGATAGCCCTGATCGAATCGACTGGTCCCTCGAGCAAATCGATCGGCTCGGACAACCAGCCAACAACGTCGGCCAGTCTTCAGAAAGCACCCTCACATAGATTCAGCAAGCTGGTGCTGCGATGATGTCGGCGCTGGTTTCTGACACCGCGTCAACAGCTCAATACTGAATGAGCCTTGCTCTTAGAGGTCCCCAGATGTTCTCGCCCCCGTTTTTCCACCCCTTCTGTATCGATGTTCTGCCGCGCGTCGCTGTCTGTCGACCCTGCGGCCCGAGGCGGCACTCCGGAGGGTTTTCGACATTCACGCCCGCGCTGCCGTCGCCGCCGCGTCGCCACGGTGCGAACTCGCCGCGGGCGGAAAAAGCCGGGCGGAGAGACCGCCCGACCGCCGAGCGGGGCGGATGCGGGGCGGCCTCCGCACCAGCTTCGCTAGCAGGCGCCACCGTGGAGGCGTCGCTGGAACCGCTTGGCACGTCGCACCCCGCAGGCTCCGCCACCGCCACCTGGCACCGAAGGCTGGGGCGGGCCTCCTCCTCCTCCTCCTTCCGTCATCAACACCCCCCGCATCGCCCTGCACCCCGTACTACCTCCTCCTCCCCTCCTCTTCCGATTATTTCTCCTTCTCTTCCCACCTTCCCAATTATCATCCTCCTTTTCGCCCGTTCTCCTCCTCCTCCTCCTCCTCCTCCTCCTCCTGCTAATCGTCCTTCTCCCTCTCCATCCCACTCCTTAAAAATAATGCCTCCCTACCACACCCCCAAGCCGTCGGTAGGGTGGGCCGGGCGTTTTTCATGAACCTTCCTCGCCATGTCTGATCTTGCAGCTTGAACTGTACAGTTGCAGGGATGGAAGGGGGGTCGCCTCCAAAGCTCCAACACGTGGCTCTCGCCCCAACGCCACGCACATTATCTGGGGTGTCTGGGGCGCGGTCTGTCCGCGGCAGCGCAGAAATAGACACGGGTGGCATGCCAGCTGCACGCGCGAGTCGCGTCAGTTCGACCAGTCAAAACATGCACATCAGATCTCGCAAGACTGCTTTGCACGCGTAGGCGTGAACATGTCATACAAATGTTTGGTCATCCAGAGTCTCTGGGGCGCGGTGGCCTGTCCGCGATAGCGCAGGAGAAGACGCGGGCGCCATGCCAGCAGCGCGCGCGAGTAACGCATAGTAACGCTAGTCCGAAAACTCGGAGCGGTTACGTTCGCCCAAAGATGCCGTCGCCTACTCGCGGAGCGACGCTGGATGGGCGGCCGCAACCGGCGGGGGCGGCAGGGTACAGAGGAGACTTCAAAGTACACCGAGGAGATAAACCAACCCTACCGCTGAAAAATATGACGAAACAGCGAGCAGGAACATCCAGGAAAACATTTACTACTCGATGAAAGAATATGAACCAGGAAACGAAGAAGAGGGAAGGAACGAAGGACAAGGGAGACAGTCACGGAGACAGAGACAGAGACAGAAGCGCTACTACGCGGCGTCCTTGGCCAGCTTGATAAGCGCCGGCACTATGTGAAACAAATCATTGTTGTCGTTGTATTTCCTGGGGGCCCACGCAATGACCTCTGCCTCGTAGGGGGGCACATTCATGGCATCGGCCCCTGCGTTGACGATGGAAGCCCACAGACCGGCGCACAACTGGACGGTCGCATCCTTCACAAAAGTTCTAGCGCTGGGTAAAAAGGCATGTTCGGCCACGCTCCTGGCCATCGGCTGGCGCGGGTTTGCAATCTTCCCCCCGACAACTGCGTCCAAGGCGCGCGTGCGCAACAAGAACTGGGCGACTTTCTGGCACGGAATACCATTGAAAATGGTGTGATGGCCTTCGACGGGGCCGCGTCGAATTCTGGCCTCTGTTCCTGAAGATTCAAATCCATCAACATAGATACATAGCGAAGAATTGCAAGGACAACTGAAATTTTGCATCTTTCATCATGGGCATCGTACTTTGGTCTGGACGCATTGAGGAAACTGTGTCCAAGTGCCCAGGTGCATCTGGTCTTGGGAGAGAAGTGATTGGTTCATCGATGTCTACCTTGAACGAGACGACGTCTCCTGTGAACATGAAACTGCTGAGAAAAGTGCAGCTCAACTAAGCGACGCAAAAGCCATCACCCACTGCCAACCCAAGTACTATAGTTCTTTCGTAAAAATTGGATAAACAATAAGCAGATCTGTTCCACTCACGATGAATTGCACAGTGTAATGCAGGTTCACCTTTTTCTGCACCTCGCTCCAAATGGTGGTGGTAGATCTGGTAGCGATATTATACCACCGACCAAGACAGCCTGGTTGCAATGAGCCACGCGCACACTCGCTGATCTCTTCCATGATGCCAAGATTTGCCATGACGCGGTGGAAGCCGTGCGCTTTCAGAGGGTCCCTGATGACGTTGGCCTCGCTATCCACCTGGGTTTTCAAATCTTGTTTCGACCGAAGTTTGCATGCATCCCTGCAACATCCGATTGTAACGTCAACAATGTCGTCTTCACTCTTACGGCGCTTGCTCAATTGATCTGAAAAGCAATCCCGGGCACTCGGCAATAACAACTGACACACTAATAATATCAGTCCTTTCTGGTTATCGAACACGGGCGAAGCCTTTGCGAACCTTTCGCGCATACCTGCCCAATCAAGAGGAGAACCACGCGCCACTTCAGTGCGGGAAAACCTACATGTGAACTCATGCTCTGAAAGACGCATGGTCACAAAAACTCGAGCAGCTAGAACTGAGGTTGCATGAACCAGCACGCTCTTCTAGCCGTCACATAAACGAAAAGCAAACAAACTGCGCGGAATTAGAGAATCGAGGCTTGCGAATTACAACTGAGATAACACGATCAATTCATGGTCCAAGCGTTTCACGGAAGCCTGGCCGCCCATCGAAGCCACGCCATAATCTCCCCAAGTACATTCTACTTCATTTTGTCAAGAAAGATCGACGGCCTGAACGCGCACCGAAATCAACAACACGCAGTGTTATATGAGATGGGCTGTGTGTACCTCGCATTGTACGTGATGTGACGTACTGCTGATCTCTCTTGCTTAGTCCAAGCGTTTCGCAGAAGCCTGGCCGCCCATCCACACCATAGCAGCTTATTCGCATGTTCATTAGTTTGCACTTATGCCGAAAGAGGAAAGTACCACCCCCGACACAATTAACCTAACAGAATTGCCCATTGAACGGGCGCTCCCAGGATCCAGGCCTTGCTAAGGCAGCGCAAGTATCGATGCATTGGTTTGCCCTGCGCACCACACTAACCTGGCAGAACTGCCCCCTGAATGGGCGTGGCCAGGATGCAGACCGTGCAAAAGCAGCGTAGGCATGGATGCATGGGTTGCCTTGCTCACCTAGACCTTGCAAATGCAACGTCGCAATGCAGATGCAAATCGATGCCCTGAAATGCTGACCCCGAGAACGGAACACTATCTCATCTGCAGTAAAAGTGCGGCCGACACTTCATCGAAACGCTGCCGATGAATCCGCCATCCCTCAATGCTGACCCCGAGTATGGAGAACAATCGCATGATTAGCCAAGGAGCGGCCGACACTTCATCAAAACGCTCTTGATGAACCCTCCGCCCCCCAATGCTGACCCCGAGTGCCGAGCACACTCGCATGACTAGTGAGGGCGAGCCAACGGATGGCCTTGCGCCAACCCGCTGCTTTTCAGAATCAGGGGACCGAGAGTTGCTCGAGGGCGTCTTGACGATGTACGTCTAAGGAGGAGGAGTGGGGAGAGGGCGGGAGGGAGGACTGAATAAGGAGGAAGGGAGTGCGGGTGCGGGATTGGCAAAACTCAGGAAGCAGGCAATGGGAGAGTAGAGGTACAAGCGATGGGGGATGAAGAACGGGAAGAGGAGGGAGGGTGGGAAAGACGAGAGATGAGGGAGGGAGACGGGGATGGACGAACGATGAGGGAAGAGAACAGAAAAAAACAGACGCGTCGAAGGAAGGGAAGGGACGGAGTGTAGGAACAAAAGAAGAACAAATAATAGGGAGGGAGAAGGGGGGAGAGAAGGTAAAAAGAATATTAAAAAAGAAAAAAAACAAAGCCGACGAAGAAAAATAATAAGAATAAGAACGAAGGGCGAAAGGAGACGGAAGGCAGGGGAGAGGTAAAGCACCCAAGATGGCTCCAGCGTCGTTCCAGCGTCCGCATCCCTGCCATCCTCATCAGGGAGGGGGGAGGGGGGCCCGAAATGGATCCGCCGTCCACCTGTCCCGCCGACGGACGGAAGAGGGAAGGTGACCCAAGATGGCTCCAACGTCCGCTTCCTTATCCTCCTCGTCAAGGAGGGGGGCCGAGATGGCCCCAGATGGTTTCGACCTGTGTTTCTTCCTCGTCCTCTTCCGCCTCCTTCCCTCTCGCGTGGAAACGAAGACTGGGAAACATGATAGAGGGAGAGAGAGAAGAGGACAGCTCTGACGCACACCAAAAATAATGGCACGCTGCGTATGTGATACGTGTTGTTTGTAGCCCAAATTCTAAATGAGATGGCCTGCCGCGTATCTTCACTGCCTAATCCAAGCGTTTCACTGAAGCCCGGCTGCCCATCGAAATCAGCTCAGCAGTGTCGCATGTTTCTTCTAGCGTACTTCTGTCGAGATAAGATGATAATATGAACGATCGCAAACCAGAGCATATACAACCAATATCACGCAAAGACCTCATCATATTCACCTCTAGTCTCGTGGAATGTAATTAATGTGTTTGCAGAGCTCTGCTCCGACGCTTCAGCCACTCATGCCTACAAGCATGTATCGTTTTGATTTAATGGCATTCAGAAGTCTCGCGAAAAAATCACACGACAATATTAACTGCACTAATTTTCTGTATTCACCTGGTCGTGTCTCCCCAACACTAATTGACTGCATAAAATTAACTGAAGTAGTTCGAGTCATATACTGTGTGGCTCAGATGTGGCCGGGCGGAACCCAAAAATCAAATGCATACAGTAGAAGACAAACTGTTTGAAACTACATGACAGTCATGTAATTATCTTAGGACCCCCAAAAAAAAACGAATACGATTAATTAATATGGTCAGCTGTAACTAACCAAAGGTTTTGTAACAAACATATGAGGTTTACTTGACATATTCCACGTCTTGTCAAAGCTCTTCTGCGACGTCTCAACAACTCAGACATGTGCGCAATAATATCATGTGTGAAAACATGTGTCAAAAGGCCTCGCGTAATCATTGAATACCTTGAACAAGTTGAGCTACTCACTGTTTAAAATTTGTTATAAGGCGCCCCGCAAATTAATTACAGAAAAAATGTATATTTCCCTTGGCTCATATTCGGCTGGGCAGAACCCAGAAAATAGATTAGATAGATTTGATGTTTCCAAAAGAATATACGAACTCAGTTCAGCTAATGCAATTCATTCACTCATTGTTGTGGTGCCACCTCAAAATATTCAAATTAAATTCAATCGTGGGGCAACTTAACTTAAATTGTTCAATTGGTTTACCTTCTCATTTAATTTCACAGATT